GTATCACCGTCATTAATCAGCAAACAAACAAACAAACAGCTTCATCTCCAGACAGACTGACGTTACATTTTCTCTCTTGAAACAGAACAATGTGTTAAATTGTAGAGACTCACCTGCAACACATGAAGAGTTGTATCAGCTGCAGCTCCTTCCTCCTCCTCGTGACTCCCACATGTTTACGTTTATCTCCGTGGTTCTCTCGTGTCGTGTCGGTGATTTTCAAAGCGTCATGCTTCTCGTTTTTTATCTTTGTGAAGTTCTCCCACTCTTTGGAGGACTTGGGTTGAACAGTTTTCACTGCGTTGGTCATTTGTAAAATTTCCTTAATTTCCTTTGAAAACAACCTCTGCTTTGTTTCCCCCTCGCTCTGTTCAACTCGCGCTGCAGTTTTTTTTTTCAAACTTTATTCAGTCAGTCAGCATTGACAATGAACTGCCCGTGAACAAAAGGAAACGGCTCCGCAGCGCCGTGAAAGATGCATAATCGCGCGACACAACGAATCGAAAATGAAATTCGTTGCCAACGCTTTTAATCATCGATTTTTATCGATTTTTATCGATTTTTATCGATTCGTTGTTGCAGCCCTACTGAATTGTCAAAAATAATAGCTTCATGCACATGTCTGCTAGATCCCATCCTATCCAAACTGTTTAACGATGTATTTCCCCTAATAATATCTACATTTTGTATCCGCTTAATTCGTCACTAATAAATGATTACACACCACAGAGCATCAAGGTTACTGTAATTAAACCTTTACTTAAGAAACATAACCTTGACTCAGGAATTCTAGCTAATTATAGACATATCTAATCCAACTTTCATCTCAAAAATTCCAGAGAAACTACAGTTTTTTTTTTTTCCACTTTGGAGTAAGCTGTTTGTGGGAAGAATCAGTTTTGTGTTGTGTGTTTCCTTGACTGATGAAGCCTTCCGGATGGAAGATGAAACGTTTCAGCAAAAAAAGAAACTGTCCAGATGACCTGACTGAAAATTATTGGATCTAGAGAAACTAGTTGCAGGTCAGTTACATGATCATCTGCAAAGAAATAATCTGTTTGAAGAGTTTCAGTCAGGGTTTGGAGCTCACCACAGCACAGAAACTGCACTGGTGAAAGTTACTAATGATATTCTCATGGCCTCTGACAACAGACAGGTGTTTACACTGGTCCTGTTAGACCTTTCATTCAACCTTTATTTCTACAGGTAAATCCCATTGAGCCTCGAGGACTCATTTACAAGAGAGACCTGGTTTAACAAAGAATGATGACAACAATGGACAACAGCAACAACAATAAACAATTATAAAAAGGCATACAGATTTTTTTTCTTTATTTTATTTTTTTACAAAGAAAATGCTAAAAGTGTCAAAAACAGCTAGATTCTAAGGTGAACGTAGAAAACTTAAAACAGGAACATGTCTGCATTGGTCCCTGCCAGGAGTGCAACAGATTCTTAGCTCAGTGCTGCATTTGATACAACTGATCACAATATTCTACTACAGAGATTTGCTAGAAGTTTAATCTTGCTGGAGGCCCAGTCTGGTCTACTCTGACTCATAACCTGGTTCAGAACAGATCATACCAGTCTCAGCTGCTCACAATGAGCGATCCCAGGGTCAACACCCGATAAAGAGTCATTTTTGTTTGCTTGCTTCCAACACGTCGATAGATTTGCACATCACCCCATTATCATTCAACACCTGCTCTTCTCAAGGGCGGACATCTCCTCCTCTCCCTCTCTGCTTTGCTTTTGCTCTGTCCTGTCTGTGAAACTGCTTTAGATCTTCTCGTCTACAAATCTTTCGAATCATAACTACGGACTTGGATTTGTTCAGTCGGTCCCTCAACACAATTGAGTCTTTGAAGAGAAGACAGGCTTCAGGCGAGCAGATTGCCCTGTTGGCACGCAGCTGGATCTCTCATTGACTTTGAAGACTTGATGACGTGTCTATCTCTGCTGTCATCTGTGGATTTTAAGGACACATTTATACTTGGATTTATGATAACTGGTTCCTGCTTTTTGGATTATTCTGGTTCCTGGTCTATCAACAACCAAGGAAGTCGTTGGCAGCAAATTTGGATCTGATCAGGCTGCCTGCCTTTTACGATGGCTTGGTTTGTGCCTCGAGCACCCAGACTCTTGGCAGAATAGATCAGATCGCAGGGATTATTCTCAGGCACGTTTCATTGGTATGGTCATTTAATTTGGACGTTTTGGAAGCGAGTGGACTGACACAGACTCAAGGTAGATGACATTAAAGTTCTGCCTGTCCCCAAAACAATCGTGTTTATCTGAATTCGGCTCCCTGACTGGCCTTGACAGGCCGTCTTATCTCAACCCGTCTGGAAGGATTATAAACATGATGCTCTGCCCCTCCCTCCCTCTCCTACTGATGAATTTCCATGGACTTTTCAGAGGAGCTCAGCTGAATAAACATTCTGTCATCATTTCAGGACTCTGGATTCATCTTTGATCGTCCTCGCCCGCCCCCCCCCGACAGGCCGTCTTAT